GTGTGTGTGTGTGTGTGTGTGTGTATATATATATATATATATATATATATATATATATGTACACACACACATATATACATATATATATATATATATGTACACACACACATATATACATACATACATACACACACACACACATACATACTTACACATCCATACATACATACTTACACATCCATACACACACACAAACACGGGTATTCAGGAAGGGTGCTTTCACACAACACGCGTAACTCGGAGCATTCACGGAGTATTTGCGCGTGCACACGTTGGGAGGGTCTGCGGACATTATTCCGCCCCCCCCCCTTGTCTGCACCGCAGTTCACGCGTCTGAGGACGGACTGGCCTCCGAGGGGGCGCGGGTAAAGCCCGGCCCGCAGCGGCATCCCCCTCAAGCTGGCTGCCCGACAAAGACGCCTCAGAGCTGCGAGCCCTCCTTTCTTCCCCCCTCAGACGCGCTTCTTCCCCACAACCGCCTGGGCTCTGAGCAATCGCTCCCTCCCCTCGTGTGGAGCCCAGCCCCCTGGGAAGCGACTGCCCTCTCTCGCTCCCGCGCCCGCTTCCCCTCGGTCGGCCCTCACCCACCAGCAGGTTGGTGCTCCTGTTATCGCCCTCCGCCATTTTGTGCGGCAGCCGCAGCGCCTCGTCCCTTCGCTCCCTGCCCTCGCGCCGCCGCGCCCCCTCCGAAGCACCGCCTCCCCTGTCCAGGCGAGAGCCTCGCCGCTTTCTATTGGACAGGAGCGACCGCCTCCCCGGGTGGGGGCGCCAACTGGCGCTGCTCGGAGGCGGTCTCGTTTAGAAGGCGGACCAATCGCCGCTTTCCTTCTGCCGTTGCTGGGGTCCGACGCAGGCTTGGCTCGTGAAGGAGGAAGAAGCAGACAAGCCCCGCCCCCCGAAAAAAAACGCGTTTTAACGGCTCTGGGCACTAAGCAGACAGCTGCAAGTATGCTTGAACTCCAACTCCCATGAGCCTCAGCCAGCAGGCATGATGGGAGCTGTCATCCTCCGTTTTGAATAAACTTCCAATCTAAGTGCCTAAATACCCATAAGAAGGTTTAGTGAAGAAAGGCCTTTGCCTTTTACTGTTGCAAGCCAAAAGCGCTTGAGGGTCGATCAATTTCCCCTCATTGGAGCCGCAACAGCATTTCTCACAGGCCTGTGTGGAATTACGTGGTCCCTCTGCCAGCTCAATTTCACGGTCGGAAGACACGATGGTGCGCTCATAAGAGGAAAACACGGTGGGAAGATGCTTCCCAATGCTAATTGGGAAGGCAAGCCTACTAATTTGCGCACCACAAACCAGAGCCTGCATTTAACAGGCAAATGATGTGATCTAAAAGCAAAGCAACAGGACGACAAGCAAACTGGTGTTTGCCTTATATTGCCTATTTTTTAATACAGTACTGACCTGCAAAAGGGCAAAACTTCAAACTGCCCCCCCAAAATGGACTATAGCAGGTATAGCACAAGCTCATTTGTTATGTTGCGTTCCAAAGGAAAATGTATCTTCAATGAACAGTGGTTCATGCAACACTCTCAGGGATGGAATTAAAAATGGCCAATTGGAAATGGTGGTTTTGTCCCCAAGTGAGCAGTGTACAAAATCAAATCTTCCAGGAACAGAACTTTCTGGAGAACATCAAAGCCTTCTGTTCCTTCTCCAGACCAGGCCAATCCAGCAGTCTTCGGGACGCTGAAGCATCACGTGCCATTTGCACAACAGAGGATTAACTTCCGGAAAGCTGAAGTCCGGAATAGCCAGAGGAGGAATAGAATGATCTTTTGCAAATAACTACTTCAGAGATATGAGAGACGTTCTTATGTATCCAATATATTCAAGGGAATTTGGTAGATACTGTGTGTGATAGACATATTAGAGTTCCAATCCGTTTTCTGTGGGTCTCCCTGTGAAAGAGGTGGTGAGATTTTCAAAGTATTCCAACTTGTTACAAAGACACAAGATGCTTACATCCTCCAATATAGAAGCTTTAGTACTCTGAAACTTGTTCCAGTAAAAGAAACAAATGCCATACAGGGAATTAATTAATACAGGTCGATTTTTTAGTTTTATTACATTATGCAGTAAAGATCCCATTCCATACAAGTTTCATTTCTGGACAAAAGTATAAGCATACATGAAACACAGGTGAAGTGGCCTGTTCCACCCACAGCTTCCAAGAAATAAAATATGTAATTCTCTTATCCCAACTGCTATCCATACACAGACTGCTGGTTAATGATGCTTCAGGCTGGGAAGGATAACAACTGCAGTCACCAGCTGGATGAATTCTGACTTGGCTTTTTAGAGAAATTCAGCAGTCTTTTCATTTTTTGCAACACAGGGCAAAGGGCTTAAGAGTATTAGATCCAAATACATTTACTCACAAGCATCCGCAAATATGTTGGCAGTGCACATGACAGCTAAGGGTAAGTTATCAAAATGAAAGACAAAGCCTATATGAAAATAGATAACAGCATCAAGTCAATCTTTAATCAGATATTCTGAGGAAGCCAAAGGGTTTTCTGCATAACAGCATCAAGTCAATTCTTTATCAGATATTCTAAGGAAGCCAAAAGATTTTCTATGTTATAAAATACTGGTATAATCATTTTTTTTTAAATCCTTATCCTGAACTGTGTATTTATTTCATAGGCTGTTTCTAAAATAGAGGCCTAAGCATCATCTTTGATGAATAGGTGGCATTACTATAGAGCAGTGGTTCTCTAAACCTGTGGTGTCTTGCCTGCACTCCACTTCGTGCCCAGACAGCGTCCACCCCACTCT